TTGAACCTTTCGACTCGTTGCAACGACGAGCTATGAGAATTGTCGATGATCCCAGGCTCACAAGCGGTATCGAACCCTTGAGCCTTAGGAGAGATTTTGCCTCACTCTGCGTGTTCTACCGCCTGTACAATGGATTGTACTCAGAGGAATTGTTCAATATGATGCCCACAGCCACTTTCTATCATCGTACGGCTCGCCATCGACAGGGAGATGTTTCCTCCCACGAACACTCAGGTTGTGGAATGAGCTCCCTGCCGAGGTTTTTCCAAGAAACTACAGCATGGGGTTCTTTAAAAGGGGGGTAAAGAGATTTCTTAAGGGTCGGCAACGCGCGCGTAATACCTCTGGTATTGGAGGCGTTCATAGGCTACGGTAACCATCCGGTTACCATCAGGTGGGCCGTATGCTTGTTTGCCACCTCAGTGGTATAAAAAAATACATAAATTTAAAAACTTCCACGTAATAATTAGTTGGATAACTTATTTATGTATTTATTTATTTATTGTTGCATTACGTATCTTTTGAGGAATATCTTTGTAAAAAATATGTTTTTTTTTTATTTATTACCACTTACCTTACAATCGTTTCTAGTAAAAAAAAAACAATAGCTTATAGATCACAATAAGCAAAACAATAAGTACCACTTGAAACTATGTTAAAGTTACCCGACATTGCCAAGTGCTCAGTATCAATACTGTGCCACTTTTGTATTTATAACAATGAAACGAAAGGAAGCCTACTGTTGCTAGAAATATCATTCCATTATGTTGTTACCCGACTGACGAAGTATGGGGTGAGTAAAATTTTTTTTTTTATAAGATGTGAATGGAATAGTGACCCCGCTTGCTAGCAACGGGGTCGGTGTCACTCGCGTGTATCTATAGGTATGTAAACAACCCTATATTCCAAGTTAAGGTATAACCTATGCGTTTATAGAATTTCATTCAATTCCGTTTAGTATTTTTACAGAGATACAATTAATAAACATTTATCTATCTGTCTATCCGTTCATTGTTACAAAATTTCGTAGTAGGTATATATGCCGCGTGGTCCCGGCATAGAATTGGTCACATGAACTTAATCGTCCCTTTTAAAACATTACCAAAACCTACCTATAGTGGGGGGAAAGGGATTGTTAGTAATGGAGACTGAGAATCCCATTGCTAGCAATATACCCAACTAGGTCGACCTCCTCGCGGTTCCCCCTGGAAACTATCATGGTTAATTCCTGATGAATTTGACAGGATGGGCTAACTGGCTTATTTTCATTCTCATCTATCACCCTTCACTGGTGCTCCGCCGGCGTATCCCGTTAGCGCAGGCGGGGTTACCATACCATTTTCACCCATCAAAAAAAAAACCCCTACCTATAGTTGCCAATCCGTCTGCCTAGCGTGGTAACTAATAGCAAAACCGCCCAAGGGGGAAGCTTATATTCAGTAATGGACTTTAATTATCTGATATTATGAATGAAAATTATGTACAATAAAGATTTTACAATACAATAACTTTAAAAAACATTCATATAATATTAGTATTATTAAGTGGAAAGTATCATAATGAACACACTGACTTTTGTTAACTAAATGAACCCTTATAATTGAGGTTCAGACGTTAATGTTCACCAATTATAGGTCAAAGTGTCTATCATTCACCATGAAGAGGGATTAATTTATTGAAAAGCTATGTGTAAAGTGACATGAAGCTAATAACCATATTGAAATAGATATGTCCATTTATTTATATCTTATCTTCGAAACTCATATTGGATTATTTGTAAATTTTTTTTTCTACCGCTAAGCAGTTGTGTTTGCATGACTGTGTTTCGGTTTGAAGGGTGGGATATGGCAGTAAATTTACAGGGTACAGAGGAATAACACCTGAATCCTCTGGAATAGCAACGCATGGGAAGTATCATGGGCGAAACAGTATACTCTGTTATGTCCATGGTACTGCTGTCCATGTACTGGTTACCATTTTCCATGAGGTGGGCCGTCAGCTTGTTTTCCATTCTAAGTTGCTTAAAAAAAGTAAGTAAAGTAAGTTTATTAACAAATACAAGATTGCACTGTTACATATTTTATGCCCTTTTATTTATTTACATTTTATTGTAAAATTTATAAATATAACAACATTTAATTTAAATAAGAAATAATACAAAAGGCGGCCTGATCGATAAGCAGTCTCTTTCAGTTAATCTTTGGGTAAAGGACATTGAGAGAAAAGATAAAAAGAAAAAAATATATAAAGTAAGAATTTCTGGTTGTAATGAAAAAATTCAAAAATTACTAAAACGATTTTAATGATTCTTAAACTATTTTTTTTAATAAACTACAACCTACTGAGTAACATAAGTTGTATTTTAATTAAAAAAAAAACTATACAAACCATGGCAGGTCGTTAATCCTTGCTAATAAGTACTATAAGAGTAAAAGTGAGTTTGTTTGTTCGTTTGTTTGTTGTTGTACATTATGGCGCCTTAATGGCTGATTATTGTTAATTTAATTTTATTTCCATGCAATAAATATCAATTGATAAAAATAGTATAAATTGAAGGTAGTTTGAGAAACTCTATTATACTATTTTTACATTAATTATATTCTTTCGCAGTTTCATTAATTGTTTATTTTTTTCTTTCATTAATCACTCATTTTTCTAATCATGCCTTCGTTTTTTCCATTTATATACGAGTAGATATAAAAATTGCAAACTTAATCTACAGTTTTGCGTAATATAAACTCGACGAGCTAAAAATATCGTGGTCTTTTTAATAGATTACTTTTCTTGACTAGTAGAAGAGAAAAGTCGGTCGACAGCTACTTTAGCAGGGGCTTGCATAACTTTGCTTTTGATCCAAGAAATTTTAACTAAAGTTTTATAAATTTACTCAATATACTTTACTATATTTATAGCCCACTATAATATTATAACCGTTACAGTTGACATGTGCCTCTGACTATCCCACATCTAATTAAAGTCGTAATAATATATATCTATTATAATATTTATATAAGGTTTTCTTTTTTTTTTTATACAACTTAGAACGGCAAACAAACTGACGGTCTACCTGATGGAAAGTGGTAACAGTCGCCTATAGACATGAGCAGTAGCATGGACATAACAGAGTATACTGTTTCGTCCATGATACCCCCCATGCGTTGCCATTCCTGAGAACTTAGGTGTTATTCCTCTTATATAAAGTTTAATTGACTTTTAAAAAAGAACAGGATTCCCATTACCGTTGTAATGTTTTATTAATTTACTTATTTTTTTTTTTTTAAAGAAAAACCAACAGCTAGAAAATTCATAATAAAAAAAAAAAACAGTAAAGACAAATCAATTACAGAGTTTCACAAATAACAACAAGATTTAACGAATGCACATGATATCGCTAATACTTATAATCGACTAAACTAAACTTAGAGTAACAACATTATAGTAGAACGAACATTATAGATAGGCAGGTTTTTTTTATACAACTTAGAATGGCAAACAAGCTTACGGCCCACCTGATGGAAAATAGTAACCATCGCCTATAGACATGAGCAGTACCATAGACATAACAGAGTATACTGTTTCCTCCATGATCAAACTATTTGTATAGTACAAAATTTGTCGGCCATTCTAATAACATTTATCTATTGTTGATATCGCCAAGATTTCTATAACTTACCTCTCTGAGGATACAGTCCTATCTATATAAATAATGAGTATATAAAGTACCTTATTTACTAAGTTAGGATATAATCTACCCATATACCAAATTTCATTGAAATCCGTTTAGTAGTTTTCGCGTGAAACAGTAACAAATATCCATCCATCCATTACTATTAATACCTAATCTAATTGTCCTTATTAACAGAATGTAACATAGCAATGAATCTTCCATGTTAAGGATCAAATTTCATAGAAAAAGTCCTTTGTTTCCATAGCCTACCCCATCATAAAGCGATGACTCACCACTGGCGGCACCTGCTTACTCTAATGTTATTAAACAACACCAAATATCCCTTTGTACGATAGTAATGAAGCTTTTATGTTTGATTAAAATTATAGGAAATTGGTATCTAATATATTTCATACAGTTTCTAACGTTATTACAGTTATTCTAACGTTAATATATTTTTAACCGACTTCGAAAAAGGAGAAGGTGCTCAGTTCAGCTGTATTTTTGTATGCTTGTTATATTATAACTCCGTCATTAATAAACCGATTTGCAAAATATTTTTATCTGAAAGGATATACTTTTATATTAACACCTTATACATTTTATCAAAATCTGCTTTAGTAGTTTAGTTTTTTTTTTTAATAAAATAACTGTTTTTACCAAATTTGAAGTCTAAATTTTGTGAAACAAAATCTTAAATTACGTAGTTTCAATAGTTATAAATTATGAATTCAATGACTGAAAAACTGACTTTCTTAATGACAAAATTTGTATAATAATAATCCTATCGACTACAAAAATAATCATCAACATTGGTACCGGATTAACATGTAGTAGAAAATATCGAAATTTTAAACCTTTATAGAAACTCTAACTTCAAGAAAATTTGGAAGAAAATGCATAAATCAGCTGCAACGACAAGAGGAAACTTTTAAATGAAAAGAGAGAGATACTAACTTCACTGATGGATGCGCCGCGTGGATTTGAATGAATGAATGAAAATTTATTTCAATAAACCTAAAATTTGGAAGGCTCAACATTTTTTTGGAATTATTCCACTTAGATTTTTTCGGGAAACTTGTAGTTTCACTGCCAAAACACTCCATTAAAAAGGTTCTTCTGATTTTAATTCTATATTTAAATACATAACCACATATTCATAAGACTTATAACACAACTAAGTATAGACCAAATCTTGACCGCAGTTGTAAATTAAAAATCAACTCACGTCCCTTAGTATTCACCCCATATTAACATCACCTTGGCTATTTCATAAAGCTCTATTAATGAGTTGGTCGCGTCCACTCCCCACTAGTCTGGGACTTCACGCCCCTCTGTCGGGAATAGGGCTCAGTTGACAGCACGCGTAGTGCGCAGTGTACGTGCCTACGGGAGGATAGACAACCTTAAGTCTGTAATCCTAACTTTTACGGAAAACGTTAGCAGTGGTTGTATTTTTGTGCGTGTTTCAAACGGAACTTTTCTAAATCGATTGTTGGTGCGTATTTTATCTGTTACAACTTTAATTATTAATTTATTGCATGCCCATTTATTTTGTTAAAACGTTATAAATTTGTTGGATAAACTATGTTAAATTATTTATGAGCAATTCATCAATTTTATGTCAAATGTACAAACAAATGACGAAACAAACAAAATATACTGGCATCAGTTAACGCGACTTGTGTGATTAATGAATTATATTTAATACATATACAGTTTTCATATTTAATACATATTTAGTCGACAATTAAAGAAAATTCTGATTAAGCCAAAAATATTAGTTCATTCTCATTTTTATGTAATTTCCCTTATATTCACGACTATAACGCCTAATGGGATAATCAAAATAATATGTTTAGTGTTACCTTCGTGTTTTTGTTAAATTGTCTTCGTTAACTATTATGTTTAGTGATATAAATTAAATATATATATATATATATATATATATATATATATACATATATATGTATAATATTTTGTTAAGTGAAAAAGTTTTATTTGTAGAGGTCAATGCACTTGTCAATTGAGACACTTCCATAGACACCCGCTTTGAATTTGTTAATTAAACTTGACAGTGCTCTTTGGATGCGTTAATATTCTTTTTTTATGATATACGTAATTGGTATAAATACTTTTATATTTACGATGTGGCTAACTGTTCCGTTACTTCGTTCTTGTGTATTAGTTCAAAAGTACTCGATGTTTTAATGTAGCATAATGGTGTTTGTTTGTATGTTGTTTGTATTATTTTAAGCAAATTCATTGAAACGTTTCAGTTACGTATATTTACATTTATGCTGTTCCCCTTTATGTATAAGTTCACAGAAGTCTTTTTTTAACGGGTACATATGTTATAAAAGAAATCTGTTATCAAAATTTTTGCTTTTCAACCGATTCTGAAAAGAAGATTATCATTCGGTTGTGTTTTTTATGTTTGTTAAATGTTGGAAAATTCCTTCATTATCTAAAGGCTATATTTACAGGTGATTTGCATAGAAATTTTATCAAAATCGGTTCATTGGTTTAGTTTTATATATAAATATAATATATAAATCAAAATCATTGGTTTTGTCGCAATTGAAGTCTTTTTTTGTTAAATCCAATCTTTATTTATTAGACTTAGTAGATGTTTATAAAATATTCCGGTTTTTGTTGTTATATATTATTATTTATTAATTATATTAATTGTAAGTCAAAATGCCGTTTGAATTAACTTGATTTATTATATATTTTGTTATAATTCATTTGTTTTTCAATTTTTTTTTAATAAAAAAAATACATCTATCATTGTTACATACATATATATTAAAAACATATATAAAAGGTTCATTTTGAACTGTATTTTTGTTATTTAAATACAGTATCGGGACTTAAAGCGATTAAAAAAGGTAAACAGTACCTACATACCAGCTTCTCTATTGCCGACGTTTGTAACATAAATAAGTTGTGTGGATAGTCAGTCAGGACAAATGATTTTTAAGTATCATCATCACACATTGTCATCATTTCAGCATTTAATTGTCCACTGTTGAACATAAATCTTCCCTTTTGGGGGGTGGGGGGTTCAAGTAATTGCCACGCTTGGCAGCCAAATTGGCAACCGCAGTTAGGCTTTAGAGATATTTTGAAGGGGACAACGCGTGCCATCCCTCGCCCTCTTAGTCGCTTCTTACACAGACGTATTCATTATATTCTATATTCTACATATTAATATAATAAATGTGAAAGTTTGTAACAATGGATGGATAGATGTTTATTATTTTTTTATACAACTTAAATGGCAAACAAGCTACTTGGAAAGTGATTTGAATGAAATTTAATACACAGAATAGTGTTATATACTAACGTTGCATATTGATTCAGATGCTATTCCTCTGATTTCACGCCATATCCCACCCTTCAAACCGAAACACAGCCATGCAAACACAACTGCTTCACGGTAGAAACACGAATGGGACAACAATCGACTTTCGTACAAAGTCTCCCTCTGGTAATTATTTATTATTCGTTATTAATCTTTAACGCAAAAACTCCTGAACGGATTTGAATGAAATTTAATACACTAGTAGGTTATATTCTAACTTAGCACATAGATAAAGCGGAGAGCTAGTCGTAAATATTGTGTGTTCTCATATAGCTTGGAAACAAGCAACATTTTTATCTCACAAGAAAAAACCACAGATTCAATCTCCCATAATTGAAATGAAATTAACACGACAGTAATTCCTATCGAATGTAAAAAGACGATTATTTTCGAATATCGATCCCGACATAATGATAGTTTCAAAAAATCTAATGAAATAAGAACTTGCTTCTTTTCAACTGACTATAAAAAAGAGGTATTTCATGTTTGGTATTTCATACATGTTTTTTTATGCTTTTTATCTCATATCTTCGTCAGTTATTATATAATTACTAGCTGATCCCGTAAACGTTGTTTTAACACTTATTGCGAAATATAAAAATTTCGGTTAAAATACTGGAGTTGATCGTAAAAGGGTAAAAATTTGAAGTTGTATGTATTTTTCAATGCTTATCATATTTATTTAAATTTAAAAAAATTGTCAAAAAAATAAAAATAAAATTTTTAGGGGTGGGTCACCCTTATCATTGAGGGGTATAAAAAATAGATGTTGGCCGATTCTCAGACCTACCGAATATGTACACAAAATTTCATAAAAATCAGTAAAGCCGGGTCGGAGGAGTTTGGTAACAAACACCGTGACACGAGAATTTTATATATTAGATTAAATTTGGATATTTTTTTTCAGATTTCAGCTTAATCTCATAGAGATAGATTTTATTGAAATCAATTTAGTTTTAATTTGGTTTTTAAATAAAAATAATTGATTAATTAAATGTGGTATTAATCAGTGATCTTTATTCTTATCTTTCCTTATTTGTTCTTACTTTCTTTCTTTTATTATTTGTCATTATAATCATAAGTACATTTATTTATGATATGATATTTTTCTATAAAATATAAAAATAAATCCTGAACATTTTTACTGTCATGCTAATAACGAAAACTTTAGATTTATTAACAATCTACTTACCTTTGTTCGTGGTTTCTTTAGAATAAAATTTGAATAACTTACATATCTTAACGACTTTTTATTTTACGATTTTGAGTTTATAATCCTATTTGAATATTAGTTGCAAAATAGAATTATTTGTTTGACCGACATAATATATGTATTATTATTGTTTTTTTATTATTTTTTTTTACTACAGATTTTTTTTTGTTTTTGCATTATTGTTTTTATTATTTCAACCGTTAGCTGTCCGCTGCTGAACATAAGCCTTCCTCATAAGGGGGGTTTTACCAGTAGTTGCCACACTTGGCAGGCGCAAGTTAGGCTTTTAAAAATGTTTTAAGAGGGACGCGCTGCTGCCCATTCATCGCCTTAGCTTAGTCGCCTCTTACGACACCCACGAGAAAGGAAGATAAACTGTTAGTAAACTTATTATAGATACCAAAAATTACAAGAAAGTTCACACTGAGGAAACAAGGTGCTTTTTTAAATGACATTCTGGTCTATTTTATGCCGGAACCACACGGCGTATACCACATTACATACAAATAATACAAATACAATACTGTCAAATCCTTACTAATATTGTAATAAAAATTAACTGTTGAGACCATAACTGTTCAACTAATCGTTTCTAAATTAAATATATTTATTATTTAAGGTAGAGAAGGGCATAGGTTGATTAAGTCGATCAATAAATATGTTGTAGTCACGCGGTCATTGTCGTGGGTAAAAACTTGAAGACATATAATAACGATAATTATAATATAATGACACAAATTAACAATCAATTAAATTATGAAGTCATTGTCATCCGAGCTAGGTAAGACCTGTGTTTCAGAAGTCAATGGTCTCTTTCTTCAGAGCTAGAGAAGGTAGTTATCTAATAACAAAGAAAACTGTGTGCCAAAATCCTTACTAATACTGTAATGAAAAAGTGAATTTGTTTATTAACTCTTGACTTCAACTAATCGCCTCAAAATTAGGCATGATTATTACTTGAGGTGAAGAAAGACATAGATTTATTAACTTAGTCAATATGTCATAGTTTCGCGGTTTTTACCGTGGGTTAAAGCTAGAAGACAAAAAGTAATAATTATTATAATATAATGCATACATTATATTATAATTAAATTATGAAGTCACTGACATCCGAGCTAGGTAAAACCTGTGTTTTAGATGTTGATAACCTCTTTATTCATATATAGAAAAGTAGTTATGCAATAACAGAGAAAACTGTGTACCAAATATTTACTAACATAGTAATAAAAAAGGGAGTTTGTTTATTAACTCTTGAAGCCATAACGGTTCAACTAATCGTTTTGAAATAAAGTATATTTATTATTTGAAGTGGAGAAGGACATAGGCTCATTAACTCGGTCAATAAATATGTCATAGTTACGCGGTTTTTATCGTTGGTTAAAACTAGATGACATATAGTAATAATTATTATAATATAATTACATAAATTATATAGTAATCAAATTATGAAGTCACTGACATTCGAGCTAGGTAAAACCTGTGTTTCAGAAGTTATTTAGAGATAGAGGAGTAGTTGTGAAATAACAGAGAAAATTATAACTACTATTTAAAATATTATATAGTTAAATGGACAATTTACATCAAACATCTTTTCAGGATAATAATGGTTAATAATATTTTGTAGGGGGGGGGGGGGGTGGAAATAAATAATGTTTGTGAGTGTTTATCATTTTTAATGGATGATAATGAAATGGTGACTCCGTCTGCGCTAACGGTATACACCGACGGAGCACCAGTGAGGGATGTTAGATGAGGATGGAAAGGCACTTGGAATTAAGCTGTTAAGCTTAAGAAGACTGCGTGAAGTTCAAACTGATAAGGTATATTACTAGCAATAGAGCTACTAATCCCTAGTACAAACAATCCTCCTTCTGTATCAGTGTCAATAATTTAGGAGGGCACTAAACACGCTTTCAGA